ATCGTGCACTCTCAGTTCTGACTCGAAATGTTATAATCAAGGAGATCGAACTGTTTTTCGTGTTGTTCCGTAGTAAGCAGGAAAATTTTGCCTTCTCAGCTTTGGTATTAAGTTACATTCATGAACTAGATATGCAAAAAGACAAGATAAAAGATTGCTTTGAAATGTATTGAGAACACCTTAGCCCCCCGACCCTCAGCCCAAATGTTCCAAATCGAGGAACTGGGCCGAGAGCATGAAAACGAGGTTTCCCGCTGTTTTTAAAACATCAAACATTCAAACATGGCCGTATGAGTCGAGTATGAGTGTTACAAGTGAAAGCTTTCTGCTTTTAATACTTGACAGAGTTCCATTCATCCAGTAGATTTGTACTTTTTCACATCATGGTTAAGTTAACTAAATGGTATTTAACAAAGGTAAACTTTCGTGAGCGAAAAATCGATCAATATTCGAGCAAAATACATTGGATTTCCGATTTGTACTTGCAGATGACAACAATTGCGCCGTGTTGTCTTACTAAGACAAATTCTGATGCTGTTGAAATGGAAAAATTCTTTACAACGAATGCGATCACCAGTCTATGACATTTAATGGTGAGTAGGAAAAGCTTCTATTTTATTATCTTTAGGGACAAATATGAAACGATGAAAATTTAATTTGATATTATGATAATTGTAACATTTATTGTACGATCGCGAGTTTAGCAAACAGCTTTCATTCTTCTGCTGATTTCTAACGATTGCCATCACAGTTAGTGAAGCAAAACTCATTCTCTATCACTTCGAATGTGCAGAAATGATATGTAGCAAATCTACGAGTTAGTGGGCGTCGCGTGTTCTCCCATTTCAAGAGGGCAAATCCTCAAAGTTGTCATTTTGCAACTTGTGTACAAAATTCAAACATAATGCTGTGCATACCACAAGCTATTTAACCCGAACTATGTAAGGATTTCAGTTAAAGGGTCCCTATTTCAACTTTGATGTGCTGCACGTGTTTATTTCCCAAATAAACCGTTTACTATGCGTAAATGCAGCAAATCACCACTGGTTAATTAATATTCCATGGCATAAGTTGATGGGATTTAGTCGAGTTTTAAATGTGTTCGTTGGACCAAATGAGTTCAATATAATCTGTAAAGCCTTATTACCTTTGTTCCATAGTCATTCATTACCTTAATCACATTATATTGCTAGCCATTCTGTAACAACAGTCATGAGTGGAAAACAAGTGAGAAAATGGTAGTCACACCTTCTGGAAGGTGTTATTGGGGTTTTTCATGTTTCATTGTGCTTGGTTTTTTATGCATTTTTGCCTCTGCTTTTAAATGGCAAGATTTCTCATGCCAAGAAACTGGTCTTGTTCTCACTTATTTTCTGCTTTGGTTTGCTGCGGTGAAAGTCTGGGAATGCCTGGCTAGGTGAAGTAATAATTAAGTGCTGTGAATGAAATCTTAACATAGATTGTGACCATTATTCTCAGCAGAGGGTTGCTTTGTTAGATGATGGAGAGCAGAGAACTCTCCTACCCAACATATCGTGGCATGAGCTGTTTTTTTATTCATACATGGAACCTTTGTGTACTTCATGTATACTCTCCTGTCATTCACACTTTTCTCCTGCTACCTAATTTTTTAAAATTAGATTCTTGCTACTTAAGTCTCTATGTGTTTTGACAAGCTTTCGACTAACAGGGTAACACTGTGTTTGACTTATCATTTACTTCAATATCCTGCATACATCTGAGACAATAAAAGGCAGGACTTAAACTCAGCAGTAGTTTTTTGCTTTGGAGTAGTAATCAATGCAATGCAGACTCATACGCAACTCCATCTGATAGTTTATTACTTCATACTTGAAAGGGTGCAAAAGTGGTTTTGCGATTGCAATCTCCTAACAGATAAATTAAGAAGATGTGACATGGTTTAGCTGTGCAGCCCTAGACAGGCTTGTTAGCAACATCTAAGACAGAAAACTTATAAAAACAGCCACAATGTTTAAGAGAGGGTTTTTTGATTGGCTGAATCTTTTTTAAATATGATGCATGTCTTCAATCAGTGTAGAGCATTCTAGCGACCATTCCTTGATTGTCTTCACCTGGAAAGAGAAAGGAAAAATAATAAGACAAGTACGAGATCACTCAAAAAACTCAACGTTATATTTTTCTAAGTGTGGGATGTGACCACACCAGCCCCTCAACACTTTACTTTTTGCTTTTTCTTTGCTTTTGCGCAGTGCTGAATTTGGCTTCTGAACCTAACCCTGATGAAATGCATCCTAGCTGCTATAAGGATGCATTGTCAGTTTTGGGAGCCATTTTGCAGAGAGGTCCATCGTTTCTTGTTCTTACCACAAAAGCCACATGTAAATGGACAGTTTTTCAGCAGGTAGTTCTTCCATTCCTCCACTGTACAGTACCCTTTGTTCTTGCGTCGTTCGCACAGCTGTTGAGGCTCAACATCGTAACAGTCATCTACAAGCGAAAAGCAAATTCAGGTTCAATCATGTATAGCTTACATGCTCATGAACGAATTGAGTAAAAAAGAGAAAAACATCTTACTAACTTTCGCAAACTCCAGAATCCTCCATGCAAGAATATGACGCCTCTGAAAATTACAATCAAAAGTTTTAAACGTCAAGTGTCGCACACATTCTTTGGCGCTTAATTAGTAATGCTTTCTTAGTGTTGAATAACTGTTACCAAATGAGCTATAGCTTATACCAATGACGACTTGACCGCTCTCAGTTAACTTTGAATTTGTGCGAAAGCGCCGTTGCCAAGGTCAAAAATTATCGAGTTGATTTTTTTGTGCTTGTGATTTGCTAGGAAAGACTATTGTCTGCAATTTATGACTCTGCCAAAACTGTAATAATACCATGCGTTACTCCGTTTTATTCGGTGTCGTTCTCTAACCATATGGCCTTTTTTCACGACTGGGGAGAGGTATGCTAAACATCAACAGTAAACACCCCATTAAGCTTTTTTTCTTGATTAAAAAAACTAAACTTACTTTTGCAGTAGCCACATGTCCCTGGGCAGTTCTCTCTGAGAAATTTATGGTTTCTCTTCGTGAAGCACAAGTATTTCCTCATCGAACAAAATCTTCCACTCTTTTTGTTTTCGCAAGCTGTAAGAAACACCAAGTAGGAATTGGTTAAAGATGTACAATTTTTGCTGTACCTTGCGGTAACACTGGTGAATTTTGCGCAATGCGAGCAATTAATGCATACATGCTACCGCTAAATACTAGTTGAAGGTTTTTAAAAACACATCTGTGGTAATTCATTGCGAATCATTTCTGCTTAAAATTTTCCACTCGTGTGTTGCGCGCGCACATCATCGGTGGCCTATACTATGGTCGGAGCTTGCCAACGAGGTAAACTGAGTGTCATTCTCTCTGAGACGAGTGCAGCGTATCCCTTTTACACTGATATCATTTATTTATAATGAATGCACGAAAAAAATAGTTTGAGGAAAAGCAGTTCAGATCGTATAGGTTGTGTTCTTTTTTCAAGATGAATTACATGTACAAGATCTGCAATCGCAGTCAGAGAGGAAAATGAGATGAGGGGTAAAGCTTCGATGTCTTCCATTATTTGGAGGGTAAAGGAGCTTGAAATCACTTAACTGAAAGATTGTAGCCGAGAAAAACAGATAGAATTTGTTTTTCTATGATTTTGTTTCTGTAATGGTCTATTTATAACTATTAGTTGTGCCAGTTTTGAACTAAAATGTCTCGTTGGTGTTTCCCTTTCAAAGGGGACTTGCTTTAATTCAGGGATTTCCTATGGCTGATTAAGCTGCCTGTAGTCTCAGATTTATTTTCTTCCATCATAGTTGGTCAATTTATGATCATTTGAAGGAAAAGTTTGTAAAACGATAATATGTATGAAATGAAATTTAAAATGTAGAAAGAGTAATTCGGTACCAGGGCATCCCTGTCCGTTCGGACCAGTGACAGCGGTAATACCGTCCCAGCAACAACCGTATTTGGATATTTGTTTTCCATCGTAACACACCTCAGGCGACGGAGGCTCTAGAACCAAAAATATGTTTTAAAAAGACATTTTGGTTAACTTCTTATTCGAACGTCCGGTTACCCAAGTTCAATACAGAGAACAAGTAGCATTTCGGGGCTTGAAATAACTTAGAGATTACCATGAAATTTTGGTTTCTTTTGAAATGATATGTATAATGGAAATCTTTCTTAGTAGTTGAAGCATAGAGTCTAATTTTAACTAGGGAAGAAAAATTTCTTCTTTGGATTATCATGAGAATTTGTTTTATTATCATCATCTGATTCATAATTCGTTAGATTCTCGCGATCTTTCGATGTCTCACTGGGCTAAAAGTGTAAAGGGAATCCAAGTACTGAACTCTCCCTGAAAGTTAAAGGTTTGCAAACGTGGAGCTTACCGCAGAAGTTGCAAGTTTCAGGGCAAAGTTTCCTCATCATTCTCTGGGCTCTGCGAGATAATGATGTGCAAAGTCCTCTTGACTTCCACGCGTTACATTTTGTGTTCAAGTCCTGGCACCAATCTAGAGAAGAATCGTTATAAAGGATTATATTTGTCAGAAATAACCGGATTCAATAACCTTTAAGAAAAAAGGAATACTGAGAACAATAGCTTGATTTCTCCGGCCTAAAGTTTTCTACATCTTTGCACTGCTTGCTTCTAGCTGTTTCCAATAACATCCCTTTTGAGGTTACGAACAGCACGAGAGGTAACACAAATCTTCAAACCGGTTGGACAATCCCTTTACCTGCTAACTTTTCAAGAAATCCAAGAAATTTTAGGCAGTAATAATAGGTACTACAAGTGATAACCTTTACCGGTTACCACCTGAAAAGGCAAGCCCTCTCAAAACGTTTAAGTGGGAGAAATTCTTCGTTTTCATTAATTTTTGATCTGCTGTTTGCTCGGTTTAATATAGTTCTTTACAAAATACAGAGCTTTTTGTTAATACACGGTAAAATTTAAAAGAGTCCCTTGTGAGTTCAAGTAATAATAAACCAGAATTTGATGACGCTGATTCGCAAGCTTTCCTTTTAATTGAAATAAAAGTTATGTAAACCTCCAGGAACTCGCGCCGATCGAAATCCACAGTGAATCAAGTCGTACTAATTTGAAAATGGTTTCATGGTTAACATGGATTTTACGAAGTTTCCTAAACCATTAATTCGCGTTACTTTTGAAAAACTGTAGCTGTTAAGTTGATCGTGTTTACTTTTCAGTCCTACGCTTTAATTTGATATTGTTTTACTCAAGCAATGTCTATGTACTAACCCAAATTGGGACATTTCCACTGAAATCTTTACAAAACTCGGCCTATTTTAAATTTTTGCTAGGGAACGATTTCACCCCAAGAGCCCCCCAAAATTGTGAGATGTGTAAGAATTTGCGTGGCAAGATCACAGTTTGATAATTTGCGTTGTCACATTTGCATGGTTTTATCCTGTATTTACGCGATAACTTATAATCGTTCCGTGCCAGCTAACTTTTTAATGATCTGTTCACGATTGTTTTCCAATTTGTTCACACTACAATTGCACTGTGTGAACGAGCCCTGCTGCTGACATGTAACGATTCACTTGTAAATTGTCATTGTCAGGGTCCTGCCGGCTGTTAATTTCAGTTGAGTGGGATATTGGGGAACGGAAAAGATCTCTTTTTTTAAACTCAAGTTGAGTTTCAATGAGCAGCTGAAATGATAATTAAAGTTACGGCTAGAAAATGTTTTCAAGATTCAAGAGTGTGTTTTGGCATCTATCTTTCTTTAACTCCATTAATACAATAAAGAGAGCTAAACTTTGATGGTGTATACTTTCAATGTGAGCAAGTTGAAGGCCAAATATAACCACATATAGCGTCTCTTTACTGCTTTGATGGTGTATGAAGGCCACTCATCCTACATATGATTGTAAATTCTCCTCTCTGATAAACTATTTGTTAGAACTTGGATGTGTAATAACATAGTTAATCCTTGAATTCTTGTAGCTATGAAACTACAATGTGTAGATCAATATTCGGCCATTTTAGTTAAAATCCCTTGTATCATTCTTCTTTTTCTTATTTTGAAAAACATCCCCCATCTATATCTGACTCTTGCTGCGTTTTTTATTACAACGCGGTAATTGTCCCTGAAGTATGGTCGGTTAGTTTATGGCAAATAATCGTCACGATAGTCAACAAACTGTTCGTGAAATTGACTTTGACCAGTTGTTCGGTAGTGCATCGCGACTATCATCTCTTTACAATGTTTTAAATATTGTGGCGCCGAACATCGTGATCAAGACATTTATAAGGAACATTTCCCAGGGAAGCCGATCATGATAATTTCGACAAATATTTGGAATCATGGCAGATGGCGTGAAGAGTTCGAGGGAGGGGGGTCTTGTGTATTAAGAAACATTTGATGAAATAGGATTATTCAGGTTAGAAACACTGAATATGGTGTTAAAAGCAACCTTTACGATCTCCTAAAACAATGGCTAGTTTCTGCTATGAATTCAATTGTGATTATTAAGAACTGGATTACATATTAACAGCCTTAATGTCGAGTCTTAAACGGTGTTAAGATTGAAAAAAGTTGAGAATTCGATTGGTGTATGTCTCTCACTGGTTCCGTTTTGGCCTTATTTTCGGTCATTAAGAATTCAGTCGTATTTTGAAGACTGCAGCAGCTTATCCTGGTACAAAAAGAAATATCCGGGGGCGCGATGTTTTCAAGTAGCTTTGAGAATAGAATTTTCGGTATTGTTTTCGACCACGTACAAAATAATTTATAATTAATCGAGCTGTTGATGAAGGTGCTTTATTGTGTCAGAGGGCTTACTGTGTCTCGTACACGCTTTTGCCATCCTTTTATGTATTTTTTTGCAGCTTTATGATGTACTCAGAAGTAGCAGCGAGCAACAAAGTGCAAACACAACATAATTCAAACAAACATTACATTTAAGAAATGGAGACAAAATTATTTTTCATGTAATTTTTCATGTTATTCTGTGAAAGCGCGGGTTTCCCTACCTTCCCTATAGATCATGAAATACCTGTAACGTTGAGAAAAGGCACCTATTTCTGAAGCTCTTGCGGAAAAAAAATTGAGCTAACGAGCGAGTCTTATCTCTAAATTGATGCAAATGACGGTTATGTTAAATTGCTGTTAAACTTTACCAGTGTCGGAAGTACCCAACTCCTTACTTCCTGAGCAAATTCTGCATATACCTCCAATTGAGACATCTGGTTTTGAGTAGCTTTTGGAGGAACAATTCCTTTTAGTTTGCTGTAATAATTACATGACCATCATCTTCTTCAGTTTATAATCATCAGATGTGGATTTCATCTGCCCATTTAAGTAGTAAGATACACTTACCGTTATAAACTCCATTTGAGACATTTGTGCACGAGAGAAAGACAATAAATACTCCGGCCAATAACTTGAAGTTCCTCTGATACTCCATAGCTAACTCTTGCACTGATACAAGTGCCAAACTGTAGGCTCTGTGAGGGACGTGGCAGGTCTTTTCTAGTATCCAGTTCGTGGGTTTTGATCGCCTGTGCGATAGTTAACCTGTTTTGTACTTGCTACAGATCAATCCAGACAAAGAGTTGGTGGTTTTCGTCCCGTAGGACCCCTGTGTCTGTGCTTTCTCAATGATTTCTTTGGCTTTTGTATTTTTCTCAGATCAAAAAGATCGTAAATACATGTTTTTAAGTTTCGAAGTTTTTGGCTGATCATGCAACCGTTTTAATAAAGCTTTTATCGGTATTTTCACGTTTTTAGGAGTCATGATAAACTCGAATAAAAGAGAGCTATCTCGCAAAAATATCTATTTACTGGAAACCGTCCCTCTTTATTTCTATGAAGTACTGAAAAACAACGTAACGATCCCTTCATTGCAGGCCACATATCTGACCTCCATGTAGTGACAGACACAAGAACGACAGGGAGACCTTCGTGTTGTCAGCGAGAGATATCAGATGAAATTAAGAAAGGATGAAGAAATCTCATTAATCTTTTATGCTTTCTTTTGAATTTGAGTTCATAATTAGAAAGACTTAAAATTCTACCAGAGCTTTGCGTGTTTGGCTTCTCTTGTAGGTCACAAAAAAATAAGTTTATTTTTGAATTGGGTTTTTCTGCCTGTGGTGATCTTAGTGGTCGGTAAAATGATTGATTGAAAAAGTAGAATACGCAGATGTACTCAAACAGCCAAAATTTCGGTTTTGCGTTCGGTTTCTTCAATCGTATTTTGAAAAGTTTCTTTTTCTTGATCTGAGCAGCTTGCATAAATGTAACTTTCGGTGGAACTTAAGCAATATGCAATCAATATCGTGCGCTTATCTCTTTCTTAGATTTTGTTTGAGTCAACATAATAGCATGATTTGAATTGAAAGAGGGGTCTCATACTCTTATAGACTGAGGTAGGAGTACCTTGTTTATGTCCAATAATTCCCCGACTAAAATCATCCTAAATGCATGTGTATGAGAACTTGATAACTTCATGCCGCGTCCACGATTTTTTTCTTGTCTTGTTCTGGACGTTTGTCTATTTTATGAAATGAAAGATGATACGAGAAAATGACAATTTTTTTCCACTTTGGCAAGCTCTGACGATGACGAAAACTCAGGAATTCTATTAAACCTTTTCATTCCTGATTTTGACTTGCATCTAATTTTCCGCATAGTATTATTGCCGAATCATGCAAATACTAGGCTCATGAGAATAAAGGAACATGAAATCGCCGACCAATGAAGCTCTTGATTGTTAAACAAATTCTCCTCGTCAGTACCATAGGAAATGTATGGAGTACAGTATAGAGAATTTGCATACAATAAGCAAAAGGTTAGCGCGCGTGAAATTAAGCACCTTGAAGTAGCAACCTAACATCAAACTTTAAAGTAGTTTAAAAAATAAACGATCCAGAACTAGAGGGAATCAACGTGCTAAACCCTGCGAATTAAAGTATTTTTAAAAAGCAATCAATCTTTGAAACACCGTGTTAATTTTCCGGTTTTAATCTGCAGAAGTCTTGTGGCCCTTTTTCTTTAATGACCCATTTAACTGATTGGCGAGAGGTCTGCTAATGAGGTGTTTCCCAAAAGGGTTGTTAAGAGTGTTACCTATGTGTGGAAGCCACCGCTAATAGTGAAGAATGATGTTAATCCTTGTCAAATGTGCGCATATTCGCTATAATGTCGTATTCTTCCTTCTTTAACTTGCAGATCGGCTCATTTCTGCTCTCTTTGGCTTGCATACACACGAATCACCAATAGATGTTATTTTCATCGCTATTCCTCCCTCTATGATCGAGCTTAGTGTTTTTTTAATTATATACTCGATTTCTAAGTAAATGAAGAAAGTATCAAACAGGAACCAAAGAATTCTATCCGTGTGTTCTTTGGCCCTCGTGTTCCGCCTATCTGACATGAGGTTGGGCGGGAACGACGTATCGACTACACCTGATGATCGGCTTTCGATAATCATGGAATTAAACAATAATCATGCAATCTCTCTAAGTCATCACTTGCAACTCAGATTTACTAAGTTTGTGTCAAATGCTGATTCCAGCGGTATCAAGGACGATTGTTACGCAAGCGCCTGCCGTTATTGTTTGGCCTATCTTAACAATGACTCATCTGAAATTCAGATAATAGACTATCCGGAGGATTTGGGACTCGAATTTTTGCAAAGGACTTAGATTTTATCTTTGTTACAGGTTCGTGACAAAATGTTTAATACCTTCTCTTTAATCTCCTGATTACGGAAAATTGTAATTCGCCAAGAGGGGATTGTCCTTTAATCTTCAGCTGTGGCTCCTTTGCCAAGAAAAGCTGAATGACTTTTCTGCTTAAGATACGCAGCTGTCAATGCCAAAAGGAAAGTTTTCGAATTGAAAACACCACCAGTTTAAGTAAACGTCGTAGAAAATTTTAATCGATTATCAAAAATTGAAACTGACTATCAGAGATAACCTAGAATTGCGTCGATGTTGCGTTTTCTCCATGTAATTGGCGCTACTCTCTTAACCGATCACTTTAAGAATAAACCCAATCGCCACTCTATCACGCGCATTTTTTAACTATTAACCCTTTCAACCCCTCAGAGTGACTAGCATCTTGTATCTCCTTACAATATCGCCCCTGAATCAAACATTTAGGTCACGAGAATAAAGGAAATGATCACCAACTAAAGAAGCTGTTGACTGTTAAGAGAATTCTCCTTTCATGAGAATTCAAAAAAAGTTTGGAGAAGGTGCATACTGATGTAAGGGTGTAAAGGATTAAAATCGAAGTTATAGGCTTGGAAAGATTGTCAAAATGGAGCCAGCAACCGGCGCATTTCACCGTCCACTCTGAAAAACGCGCCGGCTATTCCGAGTGCTTCGGGCTCAATTTTCAGCCTGGAAGCATGACATTGTGCCGGATACCTTGTATCACAATCCGGTTTCTCAAAAATGGTTTTAGCAAACCTGTTACTTGATTTTTCTTTTTCGTGGATCGATATTATATTTTCTTTTGTTGTAATAAGTCGTCGCGTGAGTTTCGTTCTGGTGTTACGGAACACGACAAAGTGCGGGCAAAGGCAGTAACATAGGAAAAAAAGGAGAGCTCTTTGACTGCTCGCACCCCTAAGCGCTTTACATAAAGGTAACGCGTTTTCTCATTTGATTGCCTTTCCTACATGTGTATTATATGGTTTTTTTTTACAGTTTTAACACAAGACAAACAGCAACATTCGATAATACCCTCAAATTCATATCTTTGGAATTGTAACGATTTGAGAGGCTTTCACCGCCGGCGCCTCAGACAGTTGGCAACTACACAACAATCTATAGCAACTATCTACAAGCAAGTTTTTTACAAATCTATTACGAAGATGTTTCTTTTTAGTTTCTAAACTGAATTTTTTTTTGTAGAGTTGATTACAAACAAAAGCTTTATTTCTTTGTAGCAAGTAGAGGGTCCCAATCACCCTAGTCATATCCCAAGGAGGGTCCTCACACTAACAGCACTTTCTGGAAAATGAGAAAAGGTAGCAATACGTTAGTTTAAGTTTAACATAGAACAAGAAGGCGTAGCAGGATTTCTCTTCGACGCAAGCATAGACACGGTGCAAGCATAGGCAAAATGTTCGTGCTCGAATTTCATGAGCAATATTTCCCCAGAAACATTGCCGTGCTAAAATAGTTTCCTCATTCCGTTGGGATAAGACCAAATCCCAGAAGAAAATGTTTTTATTTACATATTTTATGGAGGCTAGCACAGTGTTCTATTTGCTACAGATTGAGAAAAGTGTTTTAGATTCCTAGTTTTGATAGGGACGTACCCTTGTACCAAGAGTTTTCCAAACTCAACGCAATGCCCGCTAGCAGGCTGCTGAAAATGTTCGGGGACCATTCCTCGAACGCTCATATGAACTGCAAATTGAAGGAAAAGTGACTCACCGCTGGATTTGCAGAAACCACATGTCTTTCTACAGTTCTCTTCCATGTAAGCTTTCCATCCCCTTATACCCGTACACAAGCCTCTTCCTGCCCAGTTCTCGCAATTGGAGGTCATTCTTTCATCAAAGCACTTTCCTACACGAGACATAGATTGTTAAAACGCTATTGACGCGATTTAAAAATCCATTTGGTGTTACTGACGACAGATCTCCGCGTCGCTAATTGCTCCGTCCTTAGATACAAAATTTCTACTTAACAAATAGATTCCCTGTTGCAGTGCGTCTGTTCAGTGAAGAAAAAAAAAAGAAAAAAAAGAAAAGGTGGCACACGAGGCGCAGCTGAGTGCGTCACTGGTGTTCTTAATCAGTGATCTGAAAACGGCGAACGGCGAAATAAAATCTATTGGCTTTATGTAATAAAGAGACAAAAAATCTATCATCCGTCTGTACTCCGATAGATCACAAGTAAGAGGTAATCATTGTGAGTAATTGAGCTCATTATATTGATTATTTATAACTGAACCAATTATAACCATTTCAATTTTGTCAAATGTGATTGGTGCATTGGCTGCTTTATTTTTTACTAATCACTCTGTAGAGTTGTAATCGCACAGTTGCCTGTAATCGGACAGTAAAGCAGCAAATTATGCTCTGTCTACTCTGTCAAAAATGCCAATCACAGAATTATAGTTACCATAGCAACAATCACTTACCCTACAGAACTGGGGAATTTCCCTAATGGAAGAATTTTTCAGACAAATAATTTTTTTTTCGGAAATTGTTATAGTAATGATTACTCGTGATTGATCGTAATTTACAAATCAGACTCCCACTTTGTGGTCGTCCAATTTTGAAATCACTCGTATGATTACCGACCGAATTTGATGCCACTCGTTCCTATTACCATTATGGATCAAAACTATAAAAATATTCTGGAAGATGACTGGTTATCATCAGACCTATTTGAGAAATGGTAGGAAAGTGTACGCGTCATGCTTGTAATTGGACACTACGCGTCATGTATGAATGCATATGCTGTCACCGCGCCTCTCGCCGAGTCAACCGATGCCTTTTGGGAAAACGTATAACCATTGGCTCGTTTGTTTCGCAAGCTTTTGTCATAGTTTTGATTAAATGGTAAGCGGATATCGTTTAGTCACTAATGAATGAGACTCCAGTCGGTCGTATTACCTTTACTCATTTTGAAGACGAGGCAGTAAAGCTGTATGCCACTTACCACACTTTACTTATTCTGAAGACGAGGCAGTAAAGCTGTATGCTACTTACACCACACTTTACTTATTCTGAAGACTAGGCAGTAAAGCTGTATGCTACTTACCACACTTTCCACATTTCTTCGGACAGTGAGTTTCTCCAAAGGTTCTAGCGTTGTAGAACGGAGAATTGCAGGTCTTAAACAGCCGACAAGCTCGTGGATAAGTGTCCTCACAAGCTATCACAAGCAGAAAACAACATAATTAGTTAATAAAACTTTAAAATTTATATATCGTCGCCATAAATATGAACCTTTTACACCATAAAATTGGTATCCATATCCTCTACAGTCATCTTTATACATTTCCTTTTAGTACCGACGAGAAGAATTCGTTTAACGATCAATGCTTCTTGGGATGGTTATCATTTCCTTTCTTTCCTTGATCTTAATTAATGATTCAGTGGTATTACTTTAAGGGGAATTTACATTCTGATCACCCTTAGGGTTTAAAAGGGTTAACTACCCACCGTGTTTTCCGATTACTAAGAGAAAACTAGCCGCTGAAGAATCGTGTTTAAATGCGTAGAATTTTAACCTTGGGCGCCGTTATTTAAAAAATGATGAGGCGGCGAAATTAGCACTTACGTAAGCATCCTTTTTCATGCGGACCCAATGCTTCTTGTCCATTCCAACAACATCCATACCTTGAATTGCGAGCCTCACAATCTGCGGTAGGACTCGGTGCCTCTGTCGTGAAGAATTCAAACCTTTAGTTACGAAGACAACTTTTAACCACACGAGAGATTACGTGGAAGGTATAACTATTCTCTTCATGGTGCTTCACTCGATTTATGAAAAATTTTCGGAACGATAATGTGTTTCTGGGAAAGTTGCGCTTGTTACGGATACTTTTTATTTTTCTTCCATTTTCGAGTTTGATGGTGATAGCCAGATTAGTAACTTGAAATGGTAGAAGAAAAAACAAAACAAAGCGAAAAGAACTCTGGCTTTATTTGGTTTCGAATTTACAGTGTAGCTAAGTATCTTCGAGAAATATTAAATAAGCATAGAGTTTTTAAAAACTCCAAAAAGAAGAGTTTAACCTGTGTGTCGATAGTAAATCCACGGAGTTGAACTCAAATGTGAGCAAATCCTGCGAGTTGCAGGGTGGAGAGCTTGAAACCGGGACTAACAGATTTCAAGCTCAGCGCCGCTGAGCTCGAAATCTGAAACCGTGTGGTTAGGCTAACCACTCGGCTACACTGCCTCACCATCTAACGCTCACAAGTTTAGGAAATTCATTAGCACTTACTGCATCGCCTGCAAGTGTAAGCGCAGTTATTTCTGAGAAATTTCTTTCTGTAACTGGATATAGAATCGTCGTCACATTCGTCTTTATATTTGTTACAGTCCCTCAGGTCGATGCACAACTTAACTACAAAAAGCACAACAAGGAAATAAGCAAACAAATGAGTAAGTAATGAACGAAACAAGACGTTCAGGAATTGACTATACTGAGAGAAATAGTTCTCATTTTCAACTGCAAAAAAGAGTGAAGCGAACTTTTCTCCTACTCATCTTTTCCAATAAGATAACTGTTATTTGACCGTCTCTTACATCTGATCTTAACCCTTTACACCCCTAAATGAGTATGCATATTTTCCATACTGTTTTCCATACACTTCTAAAGGTGCTGACATGGAGAATTCAGTGTTGGTCAGTCAAGAGCTTCTTTGGTTGGTGATCATTTCGTTTATTCTCGTGACCTTGATATGTGATTCATGGGTGATATTGTAAGGAGAAATTAGATGTAAGTCACTCTTAAGGGAATAAGGGTAAACAAGAGGTATAACTGTTGATATTATTTAAATGTGTACAGCTTTGAATGTATGTATATGAACCCCACCTACCTAAATAGGATGTGCATGTTGGTCTTTCCTCTACATTAGGTGTGATATATGTACATTGTCAGTTATGTGGTCAAATTCTGAAATGACGTTTTTACTAAGTTTCTTCCGGTGCACTTCTTCTTCTGAGTCAATTGAAGATCATCCTTACAATAGGCACAATTTTCCTGGGGAAGAGATTGCGGTGGGGGGGGGGGGGGG